TGAGGTGATTAACTCTGAGTTGGTTCGAGGGACGGCGGTTGTCAGGATTCTTTTTGTTGGATTGCCTACCATCTGAATGATGTGTTATCAATTTAAACTTATTTCTTCCAAAAAAAAATAGAACAATTACACTTCAAGATTGAAAATTTATGTCTTTGTATTCGCTCACCAAATGGATAAATATCTACATTTCATTGGGAAAGAAGCCAGCTTACAGTAAAAGCCCGTTTAATTACTCTTATTTGATCTTTCATATCAGTTAGTTTTCTTATCAAACACATACTTTTTAATTTCGTCTGTTAATCGACTATATAATAATAATAATAATAATAATAATAATAATAATAATAATAATAATAATAATAATAATAATAATAATAATAATAATAATAATAATAATAATAATAATAATAATAATAATAATAATAATAATAATAATAATAATAATAATAATAATAATAATAATAATAATAATAATAATAATAATAATAATAATAATAATAATAATAATAATAATAATAATAATAATAATAATAATAATAATAATAATAATAATAATAATAATAATAATAATAATAATAATAATAATAATAATAATAATATGTACAATTTGAAGTTACTTTTCTAGGTAAATGGACTAAAATTAATGTGCAGGACCATTGTAGCTAATTTTCGAAAAAGATTTTTCTTTATTTTATTAATAAAGTATATTATATATTCTCCATATAACTTTTCCATAATTCACTAGATTCAACGAATTTAGAGCCCTGACCGTTTGATAGCACTTAAATTAGGTGAAATGATTGAATCTGCTAAAATTGATGGGATCCGAGTTGAAGCGTTTGAATTGGTTGAATGTGCTATTTTGTGAGGGGGAAATACTTAAAATACTTTATTAATACCCTACAAAAAAGTATATGAAAATAGCTAAAACATTCTACGGTAATATCAGTCAATTCAGTATGAAAAGTAATTTCAACCTTACTTATTTTGATTATTTCATAACGCGCAAAATCATAAGTTACATATTTCGTAAAAAAATGATTTATAAAGTTGAAAAGAGGGTTATCAAACAAGCTCTTATCCGCTTTAATTAGAATTTCATCAATTTCAACCTATTAAACCTATTTAGTCAATTCCAATGTTACAAAACTCACTCTAAATATAAATTGTTATGCCTCAATTAGTTCCTCAATTATACCAACTAAACTCACTTGTCTTTTGAATCCCTCATCTAAATATTCTCATTTCTATTTTGACAAATAATTAGCAATCTTATATGACAATTTAGTTATCAAATATTCCGTACGTAATATTAAAAATAATTTACTTGTAGCATCACAATTATCACCAATGTTTCGATTATATTATGTATATTCACCAAAATCGATTCTCACTAAAGTGATCTTATTTAAATATTGTTTTGTTTCATTCTTAAATAGGAATTCTTAGCCGCAGGATGCAGTAGTTAACAACTAGATAAAAGTTAGAAATATATAGGAAAATGTTGCTTCAGAGTTATCTCGTTGTAGAGTTTTAGTGACCACATGACTAAAAGTGCTCTTAGATAGGCGATGACGCCACCAATATCCGGCCACCTCCGCCTTCCCTGCCCTACCTCCACCAGACCTGTCACTACCCTAGCCCAATCCAAAATTTTAAAATGTCTATATTTTTAGTGTAAAAAATCTGATCCCGTGTAAATTTTTTTTAAAAATATTCTTTGTACTAGCTCAGTTCAGTCCAATGCCCTGGCTCCGCCCCTGCGACCCTCTCATTGCCCTGACTAGCCCATCACCTCCCCTCCACACTCTACCTTCCCTACACCGCCCTCACTCACACACTAGGGATGGACCCGGGCCGGGCCGGTTCCGGTTCCGGGCCGGGCCCGGGCGGGCTTTTTTTCGGGTTACATGGGCCCGGAACCGGCCCGGGTTGATACCGGGTCCGGGCCTAACCGGGCCGGGCCGGGCCGGGCCCGGTTCAATGTTTTTTTTTTTTTTTTTTTTTTTTGACTTTCTTGTTATCTCCCTACCCCCCCCCCCCTCACCCCCACGCCCCAAACCTCCCTAAAACACCCAGCCCTACCCTAGGAAAAGAAAAAAAATTGAAAAAACCAAAAAAAAAAAAAAAAAAAATGAACCGGGCCCGGCCCGAACCGCCCGGGCCGGTTCAACAAAAACAGGGCCCGGAACCGGCCCGCCCGACCCGCCAAAACGGGCTAAAAGCCCGGAACCGGCCAACCGGGCCCGGTCCGGTTCGGGCCCGCACAGTAGCGGGCCGGTCCGGTTCCGGGCCGGTTCGGCCCGGCCCAGTCCATCCCTATCACACACACACACCATGGTCCACTGACATGCACCCTTTCCCCACTCCCGCCTCTTTTACAATCAGATTTGCAGGCATTCCGGGCCGGGATATTCATGGTTGTGTGTCATTTTCAACTTTGGATGATGAAGTTCATTCTAAGGAGAGTTTTGCTTGCATTGTTAAGGGTAAAAGCACAATCAAGGAAACCACTCTCCAAAATGATGCTACTTCCAAGTTTGTAGACTCAATCGAGAGGCTGAATTTCAAGCATATTTAGACTCAACCCCTTTCCGGTTTAGAATCTTTAGAAGAAGAAATTAAATACTGTACATGCGTTTCTGGACAAGTTTATCGGACCAAGAATTATATGATCGCGCATGGAATCCATCGTGAAACCACTTTAAGATTTCTAGAAGAAGCACAAGGCCAGAAATTCGAAAAATGAAGACTTTCTTTAATCTTAAAAATTCCTTTAATTTTCTCCCCTCATTAACGCTTGTACTTTCCTTTGATTTTTAATACTCCATAAAATTTCTTTTCGAAGCAAAAAAAAATGGAGAAACTTCATTAAAGTCATTTTCTCAAAACAAAACGTACCCAATTGTAGAAGGGAGTTCGGAACCCAACCATATTATGGCAAGGCAAACCATAAGCCATGGATCCAGCTGAATCACGTAGCTAGGTGGGAGACATTGGAGCTGTACAAACTTCTGCCCACTGTCTCCTAGGTTGTTTCACAAGAAGATTCCCCCAGCCTAGCTTAAAACCTTCCGACCGACCGTACGCCTCATTCACTCTTGAGGATCAAACTATGAACTGTACCTAGCCCTTCTCCATTCCTTAACCGTACTGGGAGGACCGTACACAAGTACTCACTCTTTTTTGTCTCATTTCTTGCAAGAATATAATCTCTTCTTCAGGAAACTTCCCCCGCCCCTTCAAAGCTTGAAACTTTGCCTGCCTTTTGTTTTCGTTGCAAAATGGTAAGGGGAAGGAGAAGCTACCCTGGGAATTCGATCGAACCACTTTCTTTCCACTTACCACTTCAAGAGAGACCAAATAGTACGGTTGCTTGTGGATGGATCACTTCCTACATTTTATTTTTGGGAAAACTGTCAAATAGGTACTCGAACTTTCATAAAAAGGTCAATTAAGTCCTTCTATAGGAGACTCTGTCCGGTCATCGCGATTTGGGGCGGTTCCCGTTGGAATTTTTTGATGAAATATTTTGAGCATCTTATTCATCAAGTCTAGTTTACTCATACCAAATTTCAGCCAAAAATTTAATCGGGAGCGCATTCAAATTAATTCGAGAACGCAAAAATGCGCAGTTATCTTCAAGAATTTATTTGAATGTGTTCTAACTTGAATTTTTAGCTGAAATTTGGTATGGGTAAACTAGACTTGGTGAATAAGATGCTCAAAAAATTTCATCAAAAAATTCCACCGGAAACTGGCCCAAATTGCGACGGCCGGACAGAACCTCCTATAAAAGGACTTAATTGACCTTTTTATGAAAGTTCAAGGACCTATTTGACAGTTTTCCCTTTATTTTTTTCACTTGTGATAACTCTTGAGTTCAATCATCCTGCAACAAGGTGGGTGAATAAACTAAATCCCACATCAATTTTTAGGAAATTTTGATATTTATTTTGTCAATCATGTTTTTGCTTGCAATCCAACTGCAAAAAACTGATGTTTACTTAGAGTCCCTTTGGTAAATCTGTTTTTCGGCTTATCAACCAACTTTTTAATTTCACGCGCTGAATTGTGTAATAATAAGAAAAAGTAAGGTTGAAGTTACATATTGGCTGAAGTTACTATAGATGACCATTTTAACTATTTTTAATATAATTTTTTCGTTATTTTATCAATAAAATATATTTTAAATATTTTTTTTTTCAAAAACCAGCAGAATCAGCTAATTTGAGTGTAACCAAACGAGCTCTTAATCAATTCAGTTCCTTGCTATCAAACATCATCGACATATTCACTCAACACTGTTTTTATTTAAAATCCTCACCTTTATTATTATATATCATTTTTGTGCTAATTCTTTTTGCAAACAATATAATAATTATGATTAAAAAAGAAAACATTTTAAAAAGTACATAAATTTGGATTATAATCATTTTGTTACCTCAGACCTATTTTTGAAGAAAACAACTAAAAGTCTAAAAGATAGTAAAAAATTAACCATGACATCTTAAATTTAATACGGAGTACTTTTAAAAACCGGTGGATCCAAAAATAATTATAGTGTACAACACTTCATTGAGTCATTCGTTTATGAAATATAAGACACTATTAAGATTTAAGATACCACTAAAATGAGAATGAAAAAAAGACGCAAACATAAAGACTACTAAAATGAGAATGAATAATTCCTACAATTTCTTCATTTATTTAACAAGTTACAACCAACCGGTTGTAGGGTTGTGTTGAATGGTCAGTTAGTCACCCTAACGGTTATAATCACGGCTAACTGTGAGTAGTCCCCTTATTAAACGAGTCATTGATATTTTAATATAAAAATAATATTTTAAAAGGGGAAAAATTGCATCACCTAGGCGATTTTAGACTCAGATTGTCAATTTAAAGTTTCGTAAAAAAACGAGAAAGAAGAGAACCTAAATTAATTTGAACCTATATATACTTAATCTGAAAAATAATTAATCGCGAAAAGTTAATGATAATCAAATAAGACTATTAGGATCTATTATTATGAATTTTCACTCATACACTATAGTTAGTACATATATTATCTTCATATATACACAATTAAAATAAGAAAATATCATATTTTAGTAGTTGTGAGACAAATACGGAGTAACAGATAAGAACATAATAAAAATGTAATTAAAAAATAAACGGAACAGGTACGGGGCGGGTACGGGGCAAGTACAGGGCGGGTATGGTGCGGATACGGGGCGGGCATCTTTAAAACCGTAACCACCTCGTTACCCGTAAAAACAAAACGGCTACTCCCCACCCCGTACCCATTACCCGGTCAATGCGGTTTTCCCCATTTTTACCGGGGCGGTTTGGTGCGGGTATCCATCAGATCGGTCACAATTGTCATCCCTACTAAGAATCAACACATAATTAGAATGGTGAAGAAAAAGAAGCAATGACCAGAATAACAAAACACATGAATATGAAGAAAAATCTAAAAGCAAGGAAATACCAGTCATTCCCTCGAAAAAATGAAATACCAGTCAGCAACGGCAAACACTTCACAAATTCGAACATTTGATACACTCTGAACCACTTTTTCTGATTTGATTAATCTTATAGACAAGATAGCATGTTGGAACTTCATCACCCTTTTAATCAGGAGGGTTAGTACATCAAACCGTACTTCGGTGTGGGCCTATTAGCTGCGGGGAGAGAATGCACTATGCCTGGAGTTGCTTGCCCTGAGGTCAAATTCTGGGGCAATGGTTCCTTTGGCATCCTCCTTACGCCTAATATCAATGCTGTACTCATTCCTCATTTTGGGATTGAAAAGGCAACTGTCTTCTGGTCTAAGCTCATTAGCAGCTTTGAACTCTTTCCAACCATTTGTCAAAACAGTAAAATGCTTCCTCCTACATAACATAACTGGCCAAACTCTCTTTGCTGAGTCTCTAAGAAATATGATCTCATTTTCTTTCCTTTCAGTTTTCGGCCAACAGTCTGGTAATTCCTGCATTGTAAAACGGTGTCATTTTATTAAAAACATTGGCTGACTATTGAATTAAACGTTCAATCCAATGAAACTCATATACCAAGTGTAAAAAATAATATAGTTTCTGTCCCACAAAACTTGGCCAAATTTGACTTACACAGAATAATAAAGTAAAAACTGTGTGGTTGAAGTTTATGCATAAGAGAGAAATAATTTAACCACACATTTGTTGTTTTAAATGGAAATGCCAAAGTTTTTGTAACGGCTAAATAAGGAAATTTGGAAAAAAAATGTGCAGCAGAGGGAGTATTAACCTATATGTATACCAATGACATTGCAGAACAAATTTGATTAAAGAAGGTGGAGAAGAAATCAAGAAATATGAAGAGTTAAATATGAAAAGTTTGGAGGAGCCTGTAGCTCACCCACCACCACCCTCCTCATTCCCCAACCAAACAGACGACACTCAAGATTTCCTCTCTTCCTCTCCAAAGCCCTCTGACCATCACACAAGGGCTAAAACTACACAAGCATAGACTCTTGAGTATGCACCACAAGAGATGATAAATACAATGAGAAAATGTCAAAGCAGAACAAGTCCACAATTCATAGAAAGAAAGATACTTCAACAAGAAACGTACAAGAAAATCAGGGCTGCCAACCAGCACCAAATACGAATCTCTAGAGACTGCAACAGATGCTGGAATATCTTCTTCATCCACAGGTTCCCTTTTTAATGTTTTACTGTAGCTGTTTGTCGTGTTCAGATTTTTGCCCGTGTCTTCCCACAGTGAAACATGTATAATATTTTTTAGATTGCAATATAATGTAAATAAAGCCACATCAAGCAAAAACGCATGAATGTGTACTTCCCATAAGGGCAACTGAAATATAAAGAATATAAATAACCATTCTGGTTTGCTCATACCTTCTGATAAAAATTCTATTAGTTCCTCCTTAATTACTATGGGTTTTTCACCTACCAAGGAGGAAAAAATCACAAGCACCAAACAGAAGTTAATTAGCGTTAGGCATTATAAAGAGGAATGAAGTAAAAAAATACTTTCTAACAATGTAATTGTGCATAAGAGATCAACGATGTCAAAATGCTCCAGCACATTGTGCTCTGGGCACTTCAACACTGCTGGTGCAACAAATCCGTGCAAGGGACCATTTTTAAGTTAAGTAGCGTGTAGCACAATACTTTCTGACGCTCCGCGAAAGGATTCTCCTAAATAGAAAACATTCTCCCTTTCAGCAAGCCTGCTCGCTGCCACTTTTGATCTTGATAGCATTGCACCTTGTGATCTCGTTTGCATTGGTTCCTTCTCTTGTGATTTCATTTTCCTATCTGTTCGATGTATCAATGGAAATGTGATAGTATTTATAGAGAGAGAAAACCAAATTAGAGCTAACTATATCTACTTCCCGTGAGGTTAGATCAAATTACCAAACCACCCTTGATGTTTCAGAAACTTACTGCATCTTTGGGATTGATTATAGAATATAATAATATAAAAAAGAACTGTGCATCTTCAGATTGAATTGTTACTTTTTTATGAATTTTATCCAGTAAATTATTTAAACCTTACTCTCAAAAAGAATCTTTGGGACAAATATTGAGGGTAATACAGATTGAAAAAATAAACTTAGTTCCTACTAATGTCATTATAAGTTATAACATATCATCTTTCAGATTATTTGCAAAAAGTACCAGTTAAGGGACTTATTTGCGACTTTCAGGAACCTTGAGGGTCATTTGTTAATTTGACCTAACCTCGGGGAAAATATATGCAATTAACCCTGAAAACAATGGTTAAGTATTAAAAAATGATGAAACATTCAATAAAAAACCAAGGGACACAAACTATCAAATGTGAGTGATTGAATGAGGAAGATATTACCAATTTGATATTTTCTACGTCGTTCATTTTTTGGCATTGTAAAGCTGCTTGGAGGATCAAAGCTGCTCGGAGGATCACTTGGTTCTTTCTTGGTTGGGATGAAAACATTACCATTTCTAGAACTTGCATCCTTTTCCAACTGCATTTCTTGCTGAATAAGATCGGAAGGTACACCTTTACCCTTTAAGCCATAGTTATTTCCACATGTGGTCCGTGTTTCCAACATTTCAAATCGTGACAGGTTCTTCCGGTCTCTATTTCTTTCTTGTCTGCATTCAGTTTCTTGTTCAGTCATATAAAACGATTCTTCCAAATCCATAGAAGGTGGACAAGATTTTTTCTCTTTATGGATTTCATCACTGATCTGCTCACATACTATTGCCAATGACTGGCAATTATTGTTTTCTGGACCGGGACTTTCTTTGTTCACTGAAGTCACATGTATGCCCCCAACCTCTCCTCGTCCTAGTGAGCTATTGTCAGTTCGCGCCCTTTTGTTACTTCTGTCTGTGGGTGGTGCATCAGAGTTGGTTTTAAGACAACTACTTTGTCCATCTACGCAATAAAAAACATTGGATAATCAGATCTACTTCGCATTAGGATAGCTCATAGCTCAAATTACCAACTATGGTATCTTACAAGTTACGACCGTTAGATCTATTAAAAAAAGCTCATAGCTCAAATTACCAAATTGAATATGTTGTTATTTTAATGTATTTTATTAAGTACAAGATTTAAAGCCTTCTTTAAAAGGAATCTTTGGGGTAAATATTGAGGGAAATATAATCTTGGAAAAAAAAACTGAACTCCTACTAATGTCATTATAACATAAAACTTCCACTCATTTGAAAGAAACAGTGACTGGTTGAGGGATTTATTTGCAATTTTCAGAAACCTTGAGGATCATTTGTTAATTCGAGCTAACCCCGAAGAAGCTAGATGTAATTAACTCTAAGACTTCAGAAAACTTGAGGAAGAGTTACCAAATTGAGATTTTTTATGGAGTTCATTTCTGGTTGTTGTAAAACTGCTTGGTGGGTCATTTGGTTCTGTCTTAGCTGGGATGAAAACGACACCATTCATAGAGCTTGCATCTGTTTCCCGCTGCATGTCTTGCTGACCTGGACCGGAATGTACGTTTACAACCTTCAAGCAAGTGTCATTTTCCCCTGCAATCCTTGTTTCCAGCATTTCAAATTGCAACAGGTCATTGTGGTCTATATTTCCTGTCTGTCTGCATTCAGTCTCTTGCTCAGTCATATGAAATGGCTCTTTCAAATCCACAGGTGGACAAGATTCTTTGACATTATGACCTCCATCAATGATTGGAGCACATGATATTGCTAATGGCTGGCAATGTTTGTTACCCAAAGCACCAGGACTTTCTTCGTTCAATGAATCCACATGTGTGCCCCCAACCTTGCCTCGTCCCAGTGAGCAATTGACAGTTCTTTCCCTTCTGTTACTTCTGTCTGTCAATGGCGCATCAAAATTGGTTTTGGGACAAGCATTCCGTCCATATATGTGAACGACAAAGTGCTTTGCTGGCCTTGTGAAGAAATAGAACAACAAAAAGTCCCCCTTCTCGATGTTATGGTTCAATGAGAATTGGTGCCATCCCTGATGGATAGCCAGTGAGCCATTACATTTTGAAACCATAGCTTTTGATTTAACTCCAACAGAGTCTTCAAGATAGATTTCTTGATCAGTCAAACAGGATGTAGCTCGGGCAAATTTAGGAGGCAGATACTGCAAAGGGTATTAAGTGGCAGCTTGAGTAAGACCTTGTTCAGTTGGGAGATTTTAGATGGAGGGAAGGTTGAAGGTGATATTATTTTATTAATGTATTGCATATAGATGGTTTTTATTAGAGTATTAAATATAGATTTTTGGAAAGAAAGTGAAGGTGAGAAATTATATTCAAATGCATAATTTCACTAAATATATAGTTCTTCCAAATTGGGATGTATTTAAAAGTTTGCCACACTTTTCCCTTTTAGTAAGTTTTCCCTTAAAAAATACTCCATTACCCTCACTTTTTCTACTTTTTATCTTCTCTTTCACACTTTTACACCCTCTCATATTTTTTTACACTATTCATTACCCCTACTACTTTTCTCCTTAAACAATGTTCTATAGCCATATGCACCATTTTTTCATTTTCATTTACCCCAGTGCCGCAAAGGCTCCCACCTACGGTGGGGTAAGGGGGGTCGGATGTATGCAGTCTTACCCCTGTACTAAAGCACAGAGAGACTATTTCCGGATGACCCGTAGTGAAAATTGCGTCCAAAATTGCATGGACTGATTGTTGCTTCATAACAAAGAAGCGCAGACAGTTTAGTGAGCCATTTTGCTTTATTCCATCATATTCTCAAGCCAAAAAATAATGAATCTTTGGCTCCATTGCAAATGATGGAAAATATAGCCATATGCACCAATCTTTAAAATACGGAGGGAGTAGTTATTTTCTAGTCAAACTCAAACACTAACAAATAGCGATTGGTAAACAAAAATCAATCCTTTCATCCCCTCAACACATAAATCCGCAGACCAACTAAACTCCGAGTGTTAAAATGCAGCTTGAATGACTCCTAGAAATAGGTCCAAACGATCTTCAAACCATATAAGTCATTTTAATGGTTAGTTTAATTACAGCATACATATTTTAACTTAGTATATTATATATGTAGTGTGTTTCTAGTCTATTTCTAGTTATATAGTTATAGTTCTACTGTAAATAGGTCCAGAAAATTTAAAAATATCTTAAGAGCACAAAACTATTTATTTACAGCAAGAACTTGAGTGTTAAAATACTTCTTCAGTTCTTTGTGGGTGAAAATGGAAAGGAAGTAATTGGGTCATTTGAAGATACCAGAGTTTCCAAGAAGTCATTGCTGATCATGACTTTGAAGAAAGAAGTGATAGCCGTACTTGAACTGTGTTGGCCATGAATACATAGACAATTCTGTTGACACTCGATACAAGCAGTCATCTCTGCAAAAAAAAAAATCTCACGAACGTTAAGATCAAGCCCTTCTACTCAAAGTAAACACCATTTAAAGTAGTAATACAAATAGAAATGTAATCCTAAACCACATCTGATTTTTCATACAGCATATACATTAAGATAAAGTTGCATGTGTTATATAGCTTTATTCAGCTACTTCCTACTCTGCATTCAACAATGGTATCTTACAAGTTACGACCGTCTCTAGGAAACTTGAGGCCCCAGACAAACTATAGTATTAACACAAAAACTTGGTCATGAAACTATTAGGAGCACTGTAATCCCCAATCTCAGAATAATATTAAAATCCATAAAAATCTCAAACTTTAAAAGGTCAGAGAAACTCATATCCTGAATATAATTTTTGGGAACAGTGAACTGTAATGTAGAACAATTTTGACTTTGGTGTCTTAATTTCTAAGAAGAAAACCAGAACAAGGTATAAGCTTTATATCTGAACCAAAATGGGGTTCATCTCTTACGGCCTGTTTGGATGGAGTGTTGGGAAGTGTTAGTAATGGAAATGTTAGTAACGGCCTGTTTGGATGGAGTGTTGGGAAGAGTTAGTAATGGAAGTGTTAGAAAGTGTTGGGATGGTAAAGGAAGGGATGGTAAGTGTAGGTGTAAAATGTAAACTTACCTTGTTTGGGAGGGTAAAAAAAATGAAGTGTTATTAAAGGAAGTGTTTTTGTTGAATTGACTAAAATAACCTTATACTTCATAGGTGTACATATGTATAGATTGTATATGTATAAAAAGGTTATCCATATGGAAACCCAGGTTATCCAATATCCATGTTATTATTATGAAAATACAAAAGGTTATCAGTCCATGTTAATAGTTATTTACATACTACTCCAGAGCAGGAATGCCAATTTCATTTACCCATTTTAGCAGATATAGAAACACAAACTTCTTCCATTTCAATTAGCTTACTTGTTAACCTGTCCATATTGACCGAAGGTTTCATCGGATTAAAAGGAAAAACTTTAACAATATAAACCCTTCGACCAGCCCAACCAGTCCTCCAGACCGCTTGACACCCGATCCAAACAAGCCGTAAGTGTTGGCAGGGGCCCGGAAGGGAAGGTAAGTGTAAGTGTTACACATAATCTTACCTTGAGATGTTAGTAATGGAAGTGTTTCCACTTAAATTGACAAAAATATCCTCATACTTTTTAAAATATTTTTAAGTACCCATAATTGCATGTAATGGTATATGCGTTACTTGATGTTTACTATCAAATACATGGTGATATTAATAATTGTAGATGTTGCGCCACATTGACCTGAAAAAATATTTTACGTAAAGTGCTAAAAATTAAAATTGAAGTGCTAGAAAGTATACTACATATCAAAATATTCTACGTATTAAAATTAGAGTGCTAATAAATTGAAATTAAATTGCTAATATTAAAATATTCTATGTATGGTATATATACATATTCTAAGTGCTAAAAAATATATGGATCGAGACTACACACTAAACTAAACCCCCAACTTTTTGATTTATTTTTCTATGTCACACTCTCAATTTCAACTCTAAATTATGATTCCTTCGAAATTGTGAAATATATCGGACTCAAAAAATATGAGCATATAACTTTCGCTATAGCTAAATGAGATTGTTCTACCGGTCATCCTTAATAAAAAAAATATAATGACAAAAATGCACATGGATTAAAAACATATCAATAAATAAATAAATAAATAAATAAATAAATAAGATGAGATTACAAAATACATGCACTTAATTTGTGTATACAGATACATTTATATATAGGTTATACTGTATTCAAAACAAAAAGAAATGAAGTTAAATTCAAGAATGGAAACATGGAATAATAGTTAAAATTTAAAAATCATGATCGATGAAATAATCAAGGGAGCCCGGTAGACATCTGGAACTCACAGGTCCGTCATCTTCTCAATTTTGCAACATGCAACTTTAACTATTCTTACATCAAATAATTAAAATTGGGATGAAAAAAATCAATAATTGAGATTGATTAAACCAAAAATGAAACCCAGATGCATTCCATAGAAAAGACCCAAAATTTAACAACAGACCGACAAATAATAGAAGAACGGCATAACAACAGACCCAAAATTCAACAACAGTCCATAGAAGAACCGAGAAAAAGAGAAGACAACCCTGGAGAAAGAAGAACAGTCTCTGCTGGAAGAAGAGTCGCAAGTGGTGAAGTAGGAGAACCGGCTCTTTGTCTGCTGCGGAAGAAGAATGAGGAAGAAAGTTGGGTATAAAGTATAAAACTAAACCCTCCTTATAAATCGTTAACACACAATCCAGACAGGCAAATACAGAAGTCACGATAATCTCGAAGTTTCAAAAGTGAAAATAGCAATGCGTCATGCAATCATTCGAAGATTTGAGGTGCCGAACTTACTTTATGAGTTGATGCTCTGAAGGCGACCACAGGTCCACAACCACGATGAAGTAGCAGCTCCGGAGGGAGTCTCGGGTTTTTCAGAATTAATCAAAACCGAAACGCTTCAACTTATATAAGTACACTGCTCCGTTTCCTGCTTTTTTTTACATTCTCGCCATATAATTCACGTTTGTCATGAGTAATTTGTTTGTAAGATTTCTTATATCCGGAGTATTTAACTTTGTACCAAGCGAACACAGAGGCTATACAGGAGTTTATTACAAGTAACACTTACCTTCTTTTTGATTCATAAGTTTATAACCATTTTTTATGAAACACCTGACTTTTTATTTCACGTGCTGGATTATGTAATAATAATAAAAGTAAGGTTTGAATTATTTTTCTGATTATATTGGGTGAAGTTACTGTAGAAAAGCACTTTTAACTATTTTTTCTTTATTGTACTACTAAAATATTTTTAAATATAATTTCTTCATAAATCGGTAGAATCGGTCAATGCAATCACTTCAACCAAAATCTCATAAATTTCTGCCGATTTAAGTGTTACCAAACAGGCTCTGAACCAACTAAATTGATAATTTCAAATTGAACCCATTGAATTGATTGAACTCGTCAGATTATGAAAAAAATTATGTGTGCCTTTCAAAGTATATCTTATTAATCAGATAAAGAAAATTTATGAAAAATAGCTAAAATAGTACAGAAAGTTTTATAATAATCTCAATCAATTTACCAAAAAAAGTAACTACAAGTCTAAAACGTCACTTGTTTTGGTTATTACACAGTATCAAATGCAAATTCAAATGGTACATACGGAGTACTACGTATTTCGTAAAATAGTAGAAGACTAAGGATGTTTTTACTTGGATTGTAATTTGCTGGTTTGGTCTGGTCTGGTCTGATTTCTTTGTATTTTTATAAATATCCAAGTCTAGTCTGATCTGGTCTGGTCTGGTCTGGGACGAATTACGGTCCAAGTAAAAACATCTTAATAAGTCGGTACACGGTTACCAAACGGCCTAGCTAGTATATTACATATTCCCCTAATCTCATTTTACTTGTCTTAAATTCATATTTGGGTTGTCCTAAAATAAATGTCACATTTTTTTAAAAAACAATATGTAGTCTACATCTTTCACTTAATTAAAATCAAATTCTAACCACAATTTTCACTTTTTCAACCACTTTATTAATAAGAGCCCGTTTGGTAACACGGAAATCGGCTGTTTTGGCTGATTCTGCTGAAATTTATGAAGTTCTGGCTGAAGTGGCTGCATGGGTTGATTCTGCTGAGGAAAAAAATATTTTAAAATATCTTTCTTTGATAAAATAAGGAAAAAACTATATGTAAAAATAGTTAATATAGTCATCTACAGTAATTTCAGCCAATACAGCCAGAAAAGTAACTCTAACCTAACTTTTTCTGCTTATTACACAATTCAGCGCGCGAAAGCAAAAGTTACGTGTTTGGTGAAAAAGCTGGCTGATAAGCCTAATAAGCCAAAAATCTGGGTTGTCAAACGGGCTCTAATTGTGTTAAACTCAAGTAAGGCATATTAAATGAGATACTTGAAAGTACTGTAGCACAACTTGCTCCAATTTGAGTATCTTTCGACTTCAATGAACATATGTGGCGTATCTGTGAGATTACTGTCTCATTATTCCACTCGCTACTAGTTAGTTCAATTAGGGTGGGATTGTGTGAGAAATGTTGTTGTTTAATTTGTTAGGAAATGTTTTTAATTTCTATCGCTCTCTTTTAGGTTATTACTAAACTAATGTTGTGTGAAGAATGTTGGAAAAATGTGTGAAAAATTGCATTAAATGGCTATTTTGGGGCAATTTTTTGAGTGGGGTCCACTTCCGATTTGGGTCGGGTCAAAGTGGTTTCGGATTTTCCTTGTTAAGGGCTACAATTCGATATATGGTACGCTCAAAACGGATAACGGGTGAATGAGAAATCGCTTTTCGAAGTTTACCCGTTAGAATGGAAAAACTGGGAAAAAGGATGGGTTTCTAGTGTGTTAATTTCCCACACCGGAAAACCCAAGGGATTTGCAACCCTTTATAAAGGGACTCTCCCCTTATGGAGTTAAGATTCCTAAGGGTAAAGGCTCTTTCCACGCGCGCAGGGGGGGTGCAAATCAAATCCCGAATTCGGAGAAGAAAAACCGCGACTTGCGTGCGCGGGCGACCTGCGGACACGAATGTCGTCCAAAAAACTATCTCTCAAGAGATACGATTAATTTTTTCCCAGAGTTGGGGGTACTCTGATGGCCGCGGATCAGAGTTGGGGTATTCTGATTGGCCTCCGATCAGAACCCCTCCCGGGGTGTTCTGATGGAGGTCTTCTGTCGCACTTCTAAAACGTTACAACAATTAATGCCCAACGTTCTTATCTTTTAATGCAGCGTTAAATGGACAGTTCATGGACGATTCAATGCCCAACGGACTGGTCATTGATGTCCAACGTTCAGGTCCATTAATTCACCATTTACACACAACAAATCCTCCTATATAAAGGTTGGCAGGTGATTTGCAACAACAGAGGTTCTTACATGAATCCATACACGTTTTAGCTCTAAAAACACACTGCTAGCATTCTGAAAAATTCCTCTGTGTTCATACTGTGTTCTCGTTCGCTGGAACTTTTGTTTGTGTGCTCAAACATTAGTTCGTAGTCATCGTATCCTGGGAAACGATTGTTGCAACGCTCCTAGCACCGTGGGAGGCAACAAATACGTTTTAAGGACATCGTGCGTAGCACGAGCTTTGACTAATTCTGCTTCATCTCCTTTCTTGTTTTTCTCTAGTCATTTTATTTGATTAATTTATTTAATTAATTTTCTTTATTTTCCGAAACACACCCAACAAAGAAGACATGGAATGACTATAAAGTGATTTTTGAAGTAATATATGTGGTGGCGCTAATGCAAAATACTTTCTTCATCTCAAAATGAAGTTCACGGTTTGATCAACATACATATTTATATAAGAAAAATGATGTTTCACTTTTCAAATATATTCATGTTCTATGTCAAATCAAGCAAAAGTACACAAAAAGTAAGAGTAATTGTGAATTTTGCTTTCCTTTTTGTATAAAGATGAATTCTTTTTGGAAATCCACAAAAAGGTGATAATTTCTTTTCGGAATAGATGTAATATATAATAACATGTTGATGACGAGAGGTAATTTCATTTACATTATAAATGATTGAATCTATCAAATATGGTTTATCAAGATTTCCTCAAAAGTGCGGGAATCAATCTCCACAGAAATGCAATAATTCAAATATAAATAACCATCATATTGAATAAAAAACAGACTGTGTCATTCCTATTTTTATGCAAAGTATGTTTTCATCAAAATTTCATCTTATATGTTACGTCATATAACGTATCTAAGTGCGTGTACAACCGTCGTATGATCAAGTGACGTCACCCGCAAATGAAAGATGTAGACTACATACTGTTTTAATCACTTAACCACAATATTCCCAAAAATTTCACAATTTTCTCACCTAATCATACAAGATTAAGTAGACCACAATTTTCTCACCCGCAATCGGTCAACTTTATGTCTTTTCTATGGCCCAACTAGAATATTCACCGCCATATACGTATTATCTAGACCAAGATAAATATAATATGTGGTCCCCAGAAGTATCGGGTTGTCCCCGTTCCCGGTGTGGGCCCCACGTGCAATTTACTATTCACACAAAAGTAATAACAAAAATTTACAACTTCGTAAATTTATTAACCATTTCTCAAGGTTCAATGCATAATTTACATAAAAGTAAATATACTTGGAGACGATGTTACATTATACTGTGGTTCAAATATAAATAAAAGATGTTTGTGTCATAAATTTCTGTGTGCATGCTAGATAAACCACAATACAAATTATATGTCTCACAATCAGAAGCGTATGCATACAATTATACTCATTCTATTTGATATTTTTTCAAAATGAATTCATTGTTCGGTTAATTTTTATCCAATTGTTTACTTGTCAAATATGTAACATGTACTATCTTTATATATATAACAAGGGGACCGGCTGGGAATAACTGTTCCCGCCAGTCACGTACCCAAGTCACCTTTTTGTCACAAAAACGTCATCATCCTATTATGCCGCAAACAATTTCATTTGACAGTTTCTCCAAGTAGTTTCCTTCTCGGCGGTTCTCAAGGCTTCAACAAGCACGTAAAGGAAACCACCTTGGATAGTTTCCACGTACACTCCTTGCGAAGAATAGGGCATTAATCTTATTATAAATATCATGCTTCAGCAATCAGTTGGATCACAACTCCGAAAATGCTACTGGGTGTGCATGTCTAATTTTAATTTAGACTTTCAATATTTTCTTTATCAACTTCATGTAGCCGTGTAGGTAATTACTTGACAATTACTCCATATGGTTTACTATTGGAGTGAGTCATGGAGATCTGAAGATGTAATTAACAGAATTCAAGTCTTCCAAGACAAACTGGCCGGGCGCTCAGAGTAAGATCAATGATCACACGCGAGGCCATGTACAATTAAAGTATTTTTAGATCAGTAACTTTTTTCTTATTTTCACAAGCAAAAATAGTCCAGTACTAATCAGACAATGATTCTAAGCACGTTTAACATCAAATTGACTTAAATTGTAATTCTATTTGAAACTCACAAGTGTAAATATAAAGAAAACAAGTGAAGCATAACGAAAAGAGGGAAGATATCAATGAAATTGAGAGGATCGAATGATGGATATGGGATCATAAGTGACCGGTCCACAAATATACGACTTGAAGAACTATTTTGTTGTTCATTCATGCATTATATTTCAACCACAAATACAAGTAATTTAATTACAGAATAGTCATCTTAGCACATCAGTGGAAAATAGTTGTACATCACTACATCAGTATACAGGATCAATGTTTGTATTTCTGTATTTTACCAAAAAGATGTGTAATGTGTAAAAAAATTACCAAAAAAAGAGGTGTAATTTAAATATTACGATAGTATATTATTACTATTTTTACATCGCTATCGTACATTTGTACTCTATACAATCATATACTCCCTCCATCCCGCAAAATAGTTCTAGGTTTCCTTTTTGGACTGTCCCAAAAAATAGTTCTCATTTCCCCTTTTGGAAAATTTTGTGTGGCTCATATTCATTTACCTTTTCTTACACAATCACAATCATACATTTCCACTTTATTCTCACTTTTTAAAACTTCGATCCAAAT